GAGGGTTGGAGGATTTCATACAGACACACACACAACTATGATGCCGTGTAAATTCGAACATGAGACCTCAGATATGCAAATCAAGACCTTTTTCATCATGTATGTAAGTAACTGGACTAGACTATGTTGGCCAAAATAATTATTTTTAAATGAATTTAATTAATAGGTTTTTTTCCTCAATGAAATTGAGAGTTTTTTTCTGCTACAAATGAAATTGAGAGTTGTTAATTCCTAGCTAGCTTGACTCTTTTCATAATTAAGAAGATGCAGCTTTTAAAGCTAAAATTATTTTAAAAGGAGCTGTAAATTTGTTTTTTCCTAGTTGGAAATGCAAAGAAATAATGTGAGGCCCATCTCAGGTCTTCCTTGTTACTTTGCTTGTCCCAGCCAAAGTGCATGCATCCAATCCACCGTTGGCTGAAGCGCTGCGTTTCGTGAAAAAAATACAATACAAGGGTAATGTCACGCCATAAAACATAGGGGGCCCTAAAACATAACGAAGGCGCGGTACATGTCTGCCACGTGTCGCGAAACCCTGTCTGAGAATTTTCCTAACGACCTAATGATTATTTTGCATATGTTTCATTGTTGTAAAAATATTTTTATTTTAGTTTTTGCTTCAACAATTAGAGAAAAAGCAATGTTAAAGAAGCTGAACAGTCACTGAAGGGAAGAAACATGAGCCCTTGGATGGCTAGATTGGGCCCTACGTGTACCTTGCTCTCAGACTCGGACCTCACTCATAAAAAACTACATAGAGGAAAACGCACCCCCCATTTACAGCACAACATTAAACCAGCCTTCCTTTCTTGAGCTTTTGTTTCTCTTTAGACTCTCTCTCTAGTCTCTCTCTCTCTCCACTGCATGGAGTTGGAAACAAACTTGAAAGAATTAGATAATTTTCCTTTCCATTCAAGCCTTTTCTCTGATTCTTCAACCCCTATGAAATTGAAACCAGAGCATCCTTCCAACACCAACAATGGGATTAATTCCCTACGCCCACAACTCTCTTCTTCTTCCCCACCACCACCCAATTGCAAGCCTTTGTTTTCTTCCCTGGTTCCTCATTTTGATCCTCATCATCAGCATCTTCATCTTCATCATCACCATCATCATCAACCGCTTCACGGGTCCCATTTGAATCTGAATTCTCATTCTCATGATGACTTCAAAACCAGTTCTGATCATATCAATCATTTCTCTACCATTGAGGGGTCTTCATCAAACCCCTTCAGTGGGATTTATTACGACACAAATCCTCATGATTTTGTGGCTGTTCCTCTAGCACCTGATGGTATCGACTTTCATGGTGCTAGGGGGTCCTACTGGGGTGCTCATCATCATCATCATCTGGATGGTCAGGAAATTCCAGATGACCAGGCGCAGATGGGCCCACAAAGCTGCATACAGCTTCCGCCGTTGATCAATTTTGGAGAATTCGGATCATCATCGGCTATGGCCATAAGTTTGCCTTCAGATGAAGTCACATGCAATAGCAGCAGCAGCACAGAGATTGAGTTTTGCAAGAGACTCTCAGCTGATGATCAGAAGAAGACCAAGAGGTTGTGTATGAGAAGACCCACCAGTAGTAAGGTACTGCAAAAGAAACCCTCCATCATCAAAGGCCAATGGACCCCTCAAGAAGACAGGTAGAGATTTATTTTTTCTTGCTCTATCTGAATTTGTAATTTTGTACGATATAGCTATAGGTTGATCGGTGTTGAATTTTTTAATTTTGATGTTTCTGTAATTTTATGTGATGAATGGTAATGCAATTAAATCTCTATTTGCAGACTTTTGGTGCAATTGGTTGGGAGGTTTGGCATTAAGAAGTGGTCTCAAATTGCTAAGATGCTGAGTGGGAGAGTGGGAAAGCAATGTAGAGAAAGATGGCACAACCATCTGCGGCCTGACATTAGGGTTTATATCCTTTTCCCCTTAATTCTTCACTATATATCCAAATCCATTAACATAACTAGATACAAGCATACCTCTAGCTTAATTTCACTATAGAGCCTTTTATTTTTCATTTACATTTTGTTCTAATAGGTACTATTAAGTCATCACTATATTATATTATTATTGTGAGAGCGGAGATTCGAACTTAAGACCTCTTTCACTATTAGACTAATCTAATAGCTGACATGTGCAAATTCTCAATTTAGAGCCTTCGCTGGGTTCATAATTATATTAATGTATATAGACACATATATATGCATATAGCTATATACATATATGGTTTCGCGCATATTTGGTTATATATTTATTAGAAATTATGATAAATTTATTTTTTTGACGCATGTCGTGAAATATACACTCTTACATTGTCTTATTTTGTCATTGTCATTTCTCTGTTTACATATTTTGTAAAGCATATTGACAAAGCACTATCCGATCTGGGGTAGAGGCACATATAGGCCTGAAATGGTTGTGGCCCCCTAAAGTCCCATAAACTCCTTTGAAGTGTCATATAAACCTGAAAATCTGTGTGTAAATTCATAAACTTTTCAGCTATTGGCCCCCCCAAACATATAGAATCTAGCTACGCCACAAGGTCCGATATTTGTCGATATCATGCGTTTCGACCAGTGCCAGGTTAGATCACATGATTTTAATTCGTAATAATTAAGCAAATATAGATATATATCATGAATTTTCAAAACTACCCTTGTCAAGGTTAAGTATAAAATAATCTGAATCCAAATTCGAATCCGAATTTATTTAAATTTGGATGGCTAAAAATGTCAAATTATCATCCATATCTTTTAGCATAGAATTTATTACCAAAGTTGGGTTAAAGTCAAATTTATTTAGAGAACCAAAATTATTTAGTTAATATGAGATTCGGTGTTGTTCTGTTCTTGTATATAGATAAGTAAAATAATTTAGTTATATAAAGTTTGATTACATGTAAAAACTTAATTTACCTTTTCATTTATATATTACTATACTTATTATCATGGTTGAGTTGGTATAAATTGATTTATTTTTTATTTACTAAGGACCCATTCAATTTTAATTTTTAGTTTTTATTTTTTGTGCTAGAGTATAGAGGAAAATGAGAGGAAGAATGGAAGTGATGATGAAATTGAGAGAGAGGATGAGATGGGAGGATGGGAGGGAGGAGTAACAAGAGTGAAAACAATTTCAAATATATTTTAGTTTTTAAATTTTGTTTTCACTTTTGCTACTCCTCCCTTCCGTCTCTCAATCTCATCTCCACTCTCATTCTCACTCCCATTCTCTCTCTCTTTTTCTTCTATATTCTAGCATAAAAAATGAAAAATGAAAACTAAAATTGAAATGGTTATCAAACGGGCCATAAGTTAACAAATTATTGAATCAGACTAACTAAAACAGAATTGACCCTTTTTCATCTCTACTTGGCTGCTTTTGAGGTTATTGAACTATAAGGTGACACTTTCATCATGAGTACTTGACCTAGTTAAAAATGGCTGCATATATATAGATATAAAACCCTAGGACGATGAAATACGAGCATTGTTTTGTACTGAACAGGTCAAACTATGCATGATCAAATGAGCTTTTGAGTTATATATATATATGGTGATCACATGTACACTTACTGCGTGCATGCAAATTTGCAGAAAGATATGTGGAGCGAAGAAGAAGACAAAATACTAATCGAAGCCCATAAGCAAATCGGGAACAAATGGGCGGAAATTGCGAAGATGCTGCCGGGGAGGACCGAAAACACGATCAAGAATCATTGGAACGCAACAAAGAGAAAGCAAAACTCAAAGAAGAAAACCAACAAAGACCCCAACAACAACATTAATCCCCCCGAGAGCTCTCTCTTGCAGGTCTACATCAGGAGCGTTGTCTCTTCTTCTTCTGCTTTTTCTTCTTCTTCTTCTTCTTCTTCTTCTTCTTCTTCTTCTGCTACTACTCCTAAGATTTCTTCAGCTTCAACCGAAACGACCGAAACAACCGAGCAGAGAAACGGACTCTCATCTGATCACTCCAGGGGCTTTTACTTCAACCAAAACAATGCCGAGAGCGCAAACTGGGCCCTGACAGCTTATCATCCTGATCATATCAGTAATGAGACGTCCAATAATATGTACAGTCAGATGGGTGGTTCTGTTTCTAATTTGTTCAATTTTGAAAGTTATGGGTTTGGTGGATCTTTCTTGGTTGACCAGGTAACCGGGGTTGAGGAATATCGGGGCAGCAGCATGGAGGCTGAGATGCCGTTGGCGTTGGAGGTTAAGAGCCTGATGCAGGGCCCTGATGATGACCATGTCAAAAAGGAGATGGATTTGCTCGAGATGATTTGCCAAGGAAAGCTTTAGGCTGAAGCTTTTCGTGTTGTGTATGGGTGTGCCTAGCGACTTACAATATCGACAGGTACATGGGTGGTGTTGAATAAGAATGCCATGGCTAGAGGGACAAAGAAGAAGAAGAGAATCACATCATGTGTTTGTGTTTCTATATGTTTAGGTTGTTGTGCTTAGATAAAGCGTACTTCAGACTTTGTATTTTCAGCTTTTTATATGGAAAGTTTGGAACAATTTTAGCTTTAATTAATTAGTTTTATATATGTGTTTGTCCAAATTTAGTATTATTTATATTTATGTCTATACTATATAAAGGAGCTAGGTTTTATATATATTAGCTAGAAATTATATTCTTTCTGATCGATTTTTGCAGTCTCGTAAATAGAATGTTAAGCTTACCATATTTTTATATCACATTATATATCACATATCTAACAAAGGTAGAGAGCCCCGCATAATATAATATCACAAGCAGTGCATTAGAAAAGGAAATGTGTTGAGCTTAACGCTTCAGAGGCATGTTGGGCATCGCCAATTTAGAAACCCTTGTGGGCCTCGCTAGACGTTTTGGTGCAAAGTGCTCTGCAAGGCCCATATGGAAAACCCATCTGCACTGCATTTGTGGGTTTTACTTTCATGAGCCTCAGCAATTGGAGAAATTGATGCAACCAGAACCCTCATATCATATATTGCATACCATACAGGTACATGATGATGATGACACAGAACTAATGATCTTTACAGTTGATGATTTTCGTTTTGCTTTTTTATTCCTTAATACAATCATTACACTTGTATAATTTATGCAAAGATTAATTGGGCTTTGGCTTTATTGTCTTTGCTCTTGAATACAAGAAGACTCCAACAAGAGCCAGACCAGTCCCTGCAATGCAATGGAAGCCAAGCCAGTCGTTATATTGATTAGAACAGAAATGAATCTTAAGCAGGCAATTAATGTATTGATAATTAAGGAAAGTGTGACTGACCGAGAGAATTTATGGGTGAGACGGGTGTTTGGAAGAAGATGACTGAGGAGACAATCACCACCACACGCTTCACACAGTTCCCCACTGAGTGAGTCACCGGCGATACCATCTCCAGTATCTTATAAGACACCTGCTTTGCTTTCCCCACAAAACACATTAACTAATTACGTACAAATAATTAAGCAATCACAAGTCACAACAAACAAACTCTCTGAAAAAGTGTCACCTGCTGACAAGTATGGAAGCAGAACCCAGCCAGAAGAGATCTTACGCATAACTCTCTGATATTCAATCCTTGGCGTGCCTGAAATTAAAGTAATAAACAACATGCTTACAATAAAATATAAGAATGAATGCTTCATGCTTCATGCTTCATGCAGGGAAGCTGTTTTGCTTATTTAGAACTGATGGTATTAGGAAGTAAGAAGTACTCACAGCTGAATGCAGGTATGCAGGAGTAAATTTAACGCCTTCCAAGAGAATCGCCGAAGGAACCAACAGGATGAAGGAAATGATAGTTATCACTGAGAAGAGATTGATATTGTCCAAAGATTCCTGAATTAGGAATCAAAATTCTATTTCATAAATTATTATATCATCTTCCATACGATCATATATATAACATAATAATGGCATTAGCTGGTGGAGCCATGTTTGGTTTCAAAGCATTCTGTGAATGAAACAAAGAAATCCACATCAGCTGGTGGTTACTAATTTTACCTCCTTAACCATGAGCTTCTTGCTGAGTACATTACGCCATTGGTTAGTAAGATTAGAGGCCATTGCGCTGCCGAAACCAATCCTGTTTCAGAGATGGAATAATAGATAAAGCACTTGTAAGAACAAGCCAATGCAATGCAAGGATGTGCTTGTAAAAGGACTTTTGTTACCAATTAAAAGAGGCCTCGGTGAAGGATGCCAATGCCACTCCACCTACAATTGGCACAAGAGAAGAAACCACCCAGACAGTCGGCCTCTGTGTGCACAGAGCAATCAGCATGATCAATAAACTGAAAATCAAATAACTTCTTTACATCAACAACACCGCCTTTCACTGATTGCGGGGACAAAAACTTGGAGAACAAAAACCCCTACCTCTGCAAGTAAGAGGGCAGAGAACAGGACCGTGAAGAAGGGCTCCATGGCTTTGATTGTGTGAGTGAAGGAAACGGCAACTTTCCCAAGACTGATGTTAGTCAATAGGTTGCCCATTGTGTGTGCCACAGCCAGCGGTACAATTGCTCCAAGCTGCAATCCAAGTCAATTGATTAAGCACAAGGAACAAAATTATATAAATCATGCAACAAATTTAAGCAAAAGTAAACAAACAAACAAGGTAAACAAATTTTATGTTGTGGCAAGAAGGAAGCAATAAGTAGGTACCTGTGAGCGAGTGATGTTTGGCCTGGGGTAGAGGTTAAAAGCCCACATCAACGAAATCATCACAGTCCCGCAGCCAAACTGAAACGCCGTCATCGTTGCTGGAAACGGATAGACTTTCAGAACCTATGAACAAGCTCTGGCCTTTAAGTTCTAGCTTTCTTATTTAGGCCAAAATCAATTATAATCTTACACCATGCTTTTTAAACAAGAAAAAGCAATTCAGAAATGAGAGAACATATATATAAAGGTAGAGCAATGGGCAGTGAACCTGTTTGTTGTAGATGTTGAAGTAAATATTCAAAAGGTACCAAATTCCAAACAAAGCACCAAGCTGCAAAGTCTTAACCATCCCCCTCGGATTCGAAGCCTCTTCAGCACTCTCGGGAGCAGCCCTGACCTTCAAATTATCATATCTTCCACTCAAGAAAAGGAAGGAAGCAGAGATTTTATTGAAGCTCGGAAAAGAAGAAGATGAAGAAGATGAAGAAGAAAATGTGTAAAAAAGTGTTTGCCATGAGAGCCTACGGACACAAGTGAGATTGTCAAGTTGTATCAAAGACGTTGAGGCCGAAAGTTGAGAGGGTTTAGGGATAGAGTTTCGACACGGAGGTTTGAGAAATGAGGTGGAAGGAGACAGAGCAAGCGCAGTGCCCTGCATCATCTTAGTTTGTGGGATTGGAAAGCAAGCAAGAGAGGGAGAACTTAAGTGTTTAAACGTTGCATGAATACAAAACTGAAAGATGACTGCGTTTCTTTCCGGTTTCGTGTTAATTCATTTTTGGATTGTGGTTGCTTAATCCGACTGTAAACTCGAATAACACAATTTGATATTAAAAAAAAACACAAGCGCTTGGTTTTGGCCCAGAATGAGTGAAATTAGTCATTGCAGGGTTTTGTAAGTTAGCACTGCGTGGTGTTAAGCTAGCAGTGGAATGAATGGATCGGATGGATCTCAGCATCCTGTGTACAAAATTCGCTGAGACAAACATGTGGCCTTAAGCGCTTATATTTTGAGGCTTACTGCCTTCTGAGAACCAATCTTCCACAATCCGCAATTTGGTATTTTTTTGGTTTGCTTTTATCGTCTACCATTTATTTTTCAAAATAATTGATGACTAAGATACTGAACCAAAAGCCACTGGTCTAAAGAAGACAACGATACTTGAGAAGGGGACAGAACAGAATGGAACTACATTTCTGTCTAGATATTGAGTTTTACTACAAATAAATAATTCAGCAATTGGCACATCATACTATCATAGTGATTACTTGGACTTTAGTTAACAGGGGATGGAAAGAAAACAGAAGTTAAATAGAGAGAATGTTCAAACTAAATAGCAGCTAAAGAAAACTACTATGCATAATATAATGTTTTGGAGAATTCTTTCCTCGTCTCTGAATGCTTGGCATTTTCGCCTTGTGAAATTTGTGCTTAGTAGCCGTCTAATGTGATTTCACTCAAAAACTTTCTAGTTAAAAAGAATTCCCCTTACAAAAACAGCGCAAACAACAGAACCTTATCCCAACTATTTGGGGTATTCCCCTCACATAAGACGGGAAATGAACCGGACTCAAGAATCAGACTCTATATCTCATATATAGATTAAAAATGCATAATTTATGAGAGGCATTTAAGTCTTGCAAATGTCAAATAGCCAGTGTGACCTTTGGCCTCGCTGCACGGCCTAGCCATGACTGTGGGAGGACCAGTAGTTTCTCGCACATTGCTTCCTTCATTTGATCGCTGCCGCCTTTTGCGTGGAAGAGATCCAAGAGAACCAGCTTCGTCACCCTGGAAGTCATCCAATTTCCCTTCTCGAACTTCATATGTCCGAAGGAGTATCTCAAAAGTCCTTATATCTATACACAAGCAGAAGATACAGATCTTAGACGTAAAAAATAGACTTGCATGCTCCATTAGGGAAGAAATTTAATAATAAAAAATGTAAGAGAAAACACTCGGAAGAAGCAAAGTAAGTCCAAAAGAACACGCAATACAAAGCACAAAGGAGATAGCCGCATCAAAGCCCACCTGTAAAGCTTGATCTCATAGTCTCTGACGCTCGTCCCACCTGCTCAATACATGGGGAGAAGGAGCACAATATACCATCTTGTTTCAGCATTTTCCCAGCTGATGGGATGGCCAACCAGGGTTGGGGTAGGTCCAGGAAGACAGAATCTGCCATACCAGAAAGTTCATCTGGAAATCCTTCACCCTGAATATCTCTAACTCCTACAGTGACCAAGTTGCTTAATCCCGTCTTCTCAAAATCCTCCCTATAAAAGTAAAAGATCATGTGAGCCTTTCAATAATGATAACCTTCTCAACAGAGGAAATAGCTTAATCTTAGTACGGAAGCCTGGTTTTGCAGAGAAAGTAAGCCACTGGTTTAAGTTTCTTCAATTTTAATTTGAGTAGACTGAGTTTATGTGAGGCTAAAACAACATGACGAAAAGTAAATCTAATTTGTACAACTTCTGAACTCAAAGTTTGCATGTTTCGGAAGGCAAAGCCTATACAAATCTAATTTGTACATGGAAGGAGATACCAAAGCATGGAAACCAATTAACATTACAATAATAAGGAACAAGGAAAAAAGCGATCTCCACTTCTTACCTAGCAGAGACCGCCCTTTGCTCATGGAAATCAAATGTATAGACATGTCCTTTAGGAGCTACAGCCCTTGCAAGTGATGTAGTTAAAGATCCACTTCCAGTCCCTGACTCAAGAACCAAACAGCCAGGAACTATTTCCAAGAACATGATTACAAAGCTAATGTCCGCAATATAGAGAATCTGAGTCCTGTGGCTTAGAACCAAAGTCCAAAGTTCAGGAGTAGGAGCTAACAAGTAAACAAATCCACCCTTGTTGCTGAAAACCTTGGAACCAAATTGCTTTCCTACCCAGTCTGAATGTTTAAACACGCCAAACCGATTTTCGAGTACAGAACCATCACACACTTTAATAGCTTTCATGTTGTCATACCTCTCATAGACAATAACCAAATCTCCATCACGAATACAGCGAGTAAAAGATAACTTCTTTGTTGAATCAATGGGCAACATCCTCAACCCTGAAATCGTTAATATGGATTTGAGTTTAACATTCATGGAAGTTGAGCATTTAGCATTATAACAAAAGCAAATAGTTTGTCCACAAGTTTCGTTTGTTCATCAATGTTGTAACAGTTAATTGTTCTCACTAAAGGGGAAACCTGAGTGTGTTAGCACATAACTAAAAGGGCACTCCTTTAACAAAAATATAAAAGGAGGAGCAAACAAACAAACCAGTTATCAATTTATCACCTGATAAGATTATCAAAAAGAGATAATAACAAAGCAGTTGAAGTAAAATTACAAAGTGCTTACTTCTGCAATCCACCAGATGTTGATATCCAACTCCTCAGAAAAAGAAGAGCCGAAGAAGGAGGACTGGGTAACTGGGTTCACGTGGAGAGCTGAAGAAGAAGAAGAGAAAGAAGCATACAATCAAACAAGACAAAATGATTCGGTGTTTCAGCCTCACAGTTTCACACTGAACAAGAGCCGAAGAAAAAGAAAAAGAAGGGGGAGGGGAGGGAGGGAAGGCTGGATCGTAGGTTTAAGGAGCACTGGAGGTTTGGGCCTTCCGATTGGGGTTCTGAGTAGGTGAACAAAAAAGGGTCTTAGTCTGGGCTTGATGGTAGGTTTCAGCCCATGAAAATAGTAGGTTTCAGCCCATATGGCCCTTCTTTCATGGACATAGTAGCTCTGTATTTTGGAGGGTAATCTCTGCACTTTCCCCTTTTTTCTCCTATTAGTATCAAATCAAAGATCAGAAAACCGAGTTGAAACCAACCGCTCTCTAATGGATTGAGCCAAAATGAGTTATCCACAAACCTGAACTTTAGCAGAGGATATATACAAGGAGCTGGCCAAAAGGGTCTTTCTTTCACACTACCATTAGCAGAGAACCCTGCTTCAAATTTTGGGTCCGTTTGGTTGCTGAGGAATTGAAAGAAGAGTAAAATAGATTTAGCTGTCCTGAGAATCTTAGCCTTCTCTTAGCAACGAAACGACCCAAATTGGGTTATTGGAAGGAACTTCCCTTGGTGTCTTAGTCCGTCTCACAATCAGGTATGCTGCGTGCTTATATTTACTGTTTCAACCACAAAGAAAGTTACGAGTAACATCGTCATTGCTCTGGCAGGATGCAGCTGGAGGTTACGGCTGATACTACTAACCTGAGCTATTGGTTGAACTGGAGAGTCTTGCTATGTGCAATTTGGTTATTCACACCGATTGTTATAGCATTATTAATGATATGGAAATATGATGCTTCAGGCCATTTGAAATCTGACAGGAGAGAAACTCAGCAGGATGCAAATCAGGATTTATGCAGTGATAAAACGTGGAAACCGTGCCTCAAAGAAATTCACCCAATTTGGTTGCTGATTTATCGAGTAACTGCATTCTCTCTGCTTTTGGCAACACTGATTGCCAGAGTTGTTATCAGTGGAGGTGGCATATTTTACTACTATACTCAGTAAGCCTTGTCTTATGTTTGGGCTCATCTCGTGCTATGCTTTGAATTCTTGGGTTATTTATAGATCCTGCAAAACCCAAAAACATAAAAACTGAACCAGGTTTCCAGCTTAATTCGTTTCTTTCTAGTTATGAAGTGTGTTTATTTTTTTTATGGTACTTCCATCTTCAGGATGTAATGTTTTCTGGATGCTGGACAGGTGGACTTTTACCTTGCTTACCATTTATTTTGGGGTATGCTTGCTTTCTGATCTTCGTTTTGCCTTTCACTGAATCACCTCAATTAATTTGGTGGCATATCCAATGTCTATGTATTTCAGAATCGTATGATGCGATCATTTCCACACTACAGAAACTCCCAGTTTATCTGTGTTCTCAGATCTCTTTAGACTATGCTCAGAACTTGTTTCCTCTTTTGCCTCTCTTTTTGTAGTGTGGATCTCTTCTCTCCATTTATGGATGTTGGTGGTACAATAAAATCAGCAGCATGGTTACTTCAGGCGATTATCATGTTGGGACAGATGCAGAGGATGGAGCGTACATTCCCCTTGAATACCAGGAGAAAGACTCAAATCCTGAAGAGGAAAGTTGTCTTCACCTAGCAGCAGCCAAATGCAGTTTTGTCTTTGAAGCTATGTTCCAGGTCCCTTTTTTCCCGAATGATTGATGAATGCAATAGCTTTGTTAATAAACTCATTATATATCTGTCTGGCAAGCTTGCTTTGTTAATGAACTCAATTGAAATCTATTCAGATGAATGCTGGGGCAGTGATGCTTACTGATTGCGTTTATTGGATCGTTATATTTCCGTTTCTCACCATCAAAGATTACAATCTGAATTTTGTAAGTAGCGCATACAAATTTATTGGATCGTTATTAGGCACCGAAAAGATATGGTCATGGATTATAGATTTGTAAGAACATAGACATTGTTTAGATCAAATATAGTTGATTCATCTGAACTGTTGATAAGTATGTCTTATTTTCCTATCTAGCTTAAGGTTTATACTTCTTGTTTATGTTCCCTTCTATGTCAGATGACCGTGAACATGCACACAATCAATGCCGTTTTACTCCTTGGCGATGCAATGTTGAATTGCTTGGTATGTTCACATTTTTTTTCTCTCCCTCACTTTAAACTCATACAACATATATCTATAGCTTCTTTCATGGTTAACTTTCTCAACTTTTGCAGCGACTCCCCTTTGTTCGGATATCTTTATTTATTTTATGGACGGGTGCTTTTGTCATATTCCAGTGGACCATTCATGCTTTTGTATCAGTATGGTAATTTTGGTTATCCTTTTGTACACGCATGACAAGAACTTCAAACTTGCATGTCCAATCATGTTTCATCATGTGATTGGTTGGGAATAACAAAACAATATTATTCCTGTGATTTACAAGTTTGTCTCATACATCCATATCTACAAACATACTAATTTCATTATTTTTTAAAAATAAAATAAAACGTCATTGCTCACTTTGTTGCAGGTGGCCATACCCATTTCTTGACTTATCATCACCATATGCCCCGCTGTGGTATGTTTGTTATCCATCTCTCTACCCATTCCGACATCATTCCCCATTGCATTAGGACTTAATTGCATGTTTAGTAGTGTATTAATGCATTTCATTTTGTGATACCGAATTGCAGGTACTTACTGATGGCATTGACTCATATCCCAAGCTACGCTGTCTTTGCCCTAATTGTGGGATTAAAACATCACCTCTTGTCAAAATGGTTTCCCCAGTCTTACCAGTGCTAGGTAAGTAAGAGAGATGAACTAAAGAACCACGCACTTAATTTTCCCCCCTTATCCAAAATTGTAGTTTTTCGTTATTCAATTCGATTTCTTTCTTTTAAATTACTCTATATTAATCTAATTTACTGTGTGAGGGATTCGAGCTTGAGTAATGAGTGCAAGGAGGTGGGCTTGCTGCCCTTGCTCACGTCTGCACCTATTATACACCAGCTTTAAATTCAATCTAAACCACACCATAATAAGCAGGATAATGAATCAAAACCAAAGAATAGATCCTGGGATTATATATTCACAATCAAGAAAATTCAAAGACGCACATATATCCAAATCGAAACATCAAATTACCAAGCACTTTCAAGTTGAATGTGCGTTTTGATCTGAAAAGGTGTCACGGATCAAACAGAAGCACATAACTGAAATTATTATACTTTACTAATCATTCATCCAATTAGCCAACTCCTGCTTTAAGCAGAAGTTTTGGTAACAGCTCCAGCTTGAGACAACAGAGGCACCAGTTTTCCTTCCTTGTGCAAGGCAGTTGTTGCTGCAGAACATCATCATCAAATATACATTAACCAATGAGATAAAAAGACTTTTAATAATGTGGAAGGAAGGCACACAATTAAACCTAATCAATTAATAGCCATGGTCAAGGGATTTTAAAATCTTACTGTCACATCCACCAATGTGGTTTCCACCAATGAACACATTGGGTACAGTCCGCTGGCCAGACCACTCACCCAGTGCTGATTGTATCTGAGCTCCATCACCTTCGAATGCCAAAACAAAACCACCATTTACAAATAAAAAAAGCTCAATTAAAGCAAATACGTGAAACAAGTCCTAAACACTTCATATTTCATAACATCAAAACTAATTCCTAACTACTTGACCTAATCACCAAATTCAGGTTTACCATGTCCAATCCAATCCAAGCATCAAAAGCGGGTGTTTTTTTTGTCTCTTTTGAGTTTTGTTTTCAATATTTAAATGTAATTAGCAACACACACCCAAAAAAAAAAACCCATCATCAAATAAACAATGATACAAAAACTTCTAGCTTTTGCGGGGGACATGTTTATATACTCAACTCCAAACAACCAAACAAGGAGGACTAGATTAGATGTAGAATTATATACATATACATATATATTTTAAAAAAAAAATAAAAAGATTGAAAGGAGAAAGTGGAACTGACTCTCAGTGTCCAGCTCAATGGCCTTGAATTTAGCTCCCAATTGAGTCAAGAGCTGCTTCACGCTCACGCAGTAGGGGCAATACGTCTTGCTGCAATTGCAAATTAATTTACAGATCCATAGCCTTTCTTAATTCTTAAAACAATAAACACACGCATAACAATTTATCAAAGTTCGATAAAAAGAACCTGAACACGACGACCGAATTGGACGACACGATCTCCTTCGCCTTTGTCAATGCCATAGCTCTCTCTCTCTCTCTCTTATCGCAACCCTAAATTCCAAAATCCTCGCAATCTTCTTCTTAGAATAGAGAGCGTTTCGGAAGATGCAGAGCGTCAGAGCGGTATATGTAGTGGGCCGCAGTGTGTGGATGATAGATACGTCTTTGATTTTTCTTTTGCTTCTTCTTGTGGGCCGTAATGGGCTTTTTCTTTTCTTCTCTTCTTTAACCGTCAATGATTTGTGGTCAATATATTCGTTTGCAATGCCCGACGTTGGTCGCTGTCCAAGATCACCAAATTTCACATCACTCTACGACGTCATTACTTTCGTCAGTGGCATTACCATATCGACGACGTTCCGTAACTAAAAATCCAAATGTTTTTATCTCTGCCAATGGCTGACCATGTATCCAAGTTTTATTGAATTTTCAATAGAAGATTATGATGCAAATGGTGATCATGACGACATTAATAGCATAATCACAAACATCGTCCGGACGAAGAAATCTTGAGTTTAATTGAAATATATAAACACAAGATTGAACGAGTGAAAATTGGTGGTGAAACAGTCGTTAGAAGTAAATTTGCTTATTGGCCTTGACAATGGCTACATTTAGAGAAGGATTTATAATTCTAGTTTTTATCTCTGAGAATATGTTCCAGGGAAAAACCCCCCATCTCTAATTGAATTGCTAATTTTTTAAAATAAAAACAGATTCACATATTCCCACTGAAAAACTTTTCCTAAATGACCTTCTCTTATAGATTAGCATCGATATAGTTAAACCACAGCAGGTTCCAGAAGCTTTTGCTCAACATTCTTTGCGACAGCGTCAATAAATTCTTCGGTGTTCAAGTAGAACTCCCTCGATACCCTGCATGAAACATAACCTTCTTAGTTTAGTACCCCATAACCTTCTTAGTTTAGTACCCCAAAGATCCATCCCCTCTGGCTAAGTTAGTCACCTCCATCAGATGCACACAGACGAAGGCAAATTAAATTGACCATGTACAAAGATAATGCGGATGGTCCCAAACAGCAAATTCACGGAAGAAAAGCCAATTTATGCCGTTGCTTTGGACTGTGCACACCCCAACTACCTTGTTAAACAGAGCCAAGAATCTACTTACTTGGAACCATGGGTCAAAATGGCAAGATCCTTGGTCATTTTTCCTGCCTCCACTGTCTCAATGCATGCAGCCTCCAACTTTCGAACAAAATCCAGCAACCTATCATTTTTATCTAATTTGGCCCTGGAAACAGTAAAGATTTTTCAGGTTATCTGATGCAAAAAGAAAAAATGCAAGCCAAAATGATTTATCTAATAGTTCAATCTTGAATAATTAGTGTTACACAAGGCAGATTGCCACTGTAAAGCACGTTGTCACACTTCATTAACACAGTACCTGTGCTCTAAGCCTCGTGTCCATGCAAATATTGAAGCAATACTGTTTGTACTGGTTTCTTGTCCATTTTGATGTAACCGAAAATGACGAGTTACTGTCCCATGAGCTGCTTCAGCTTCTATTGTCTTCCCATCTGAGGATAACTGCACAGACACTGGTTAGAGTTTGTGGCATAGAAATAATGAAAGTTACTGTTTGATGCATACCAACACAGAAGCCATGAGGCCCAAAGAGCCAAATCCTGCACACCAAAAAAAATAAAAAAACAGAACAAATTATTGAACTCTGGATCGAGAGAGAGAGAGAGAGAGAGAGAGAGAGTTCAACAGCACCTTGAGCAAGCAAATCACTTTGGACATCTCCATCATAATTTTTGCAAGCCCAAACATAACCACCCTCACTTTTGAGTGCATAAGCCACCATGTCATCTATTAGCCGATGTTCATACCTAAATGCCAATAAAATCTTCAATTAATTATTTCAATATATGCCATGCGACAATGCATGATTCCATATTTACCATAGACAATACATACCATATAGAGTTTTCTTCAAACTTCTTCTTCCACTTCTCGTCATAAACCTCCTCAAATATGTCCTTAAACCTGTGGCAGTCCTAGAACTCAACATTTCGTATATTTTTTCTTTAAAAAAATTAGGCAAAATTATACTTTTGATCCATATAGTTTAAGTCTGGTTCCGCTTTAGTCCCATTAGTTTAAGTTCAACATATTTACCTTATAATTTTCTAACGCTTTCATTGTGGTCCAAATTTTCATTTCAGTCACAGTGGTTGACAGAAAACGTGAACGTTTGCTTTAGATTTGTCAAGGCAGAAAGAGCAATGTGATAGAAATGTAGAAACAAGCCATGATGAAGGGCAAATTCATCATGTTTTGATAATTTCTGTCTACCACTGTGATGCAGCTATAATTTTTTGGGCCTCATTGAAAATGTTAGCAAACTATAAGGATAAATTCACTGAAAGTAACTATAAGGACTAAATAGAATCAGGCCTAAACTACAGGACAACATACTTAAAGAAAAAAGAAAGAAAGAAGAATTGAAAATTGGATTATTCCAACAAAAGTAAATTTACCTGCCATCATATTTCTTAAGAATTGTGTTTTTGGTGCTCAAGTATAGTGGCCACTTCTTGGAAAATGCGAACGACATTGACGAGTCAGCAAAAGCTCGAATAGACTAACAGATTATACAAGAGTTTGTTAGCAGAGTTGATCAACACAGTTGCCCACAATGGTATGGTGTGTCCAAAATGTGGTAAGGCAAACCTCATCAACGTTATACATAGAAAGGGCCACACCAGGCCCTTTGAAATCATAAACATCAAGTTCCACAGGGGCATCCCCTCCTTCTGGGACTGAGCAACAGAGACGGATAGATGTCAAAACCCGTGTTTAATAGGAAATTACTACACCAGCTCAATCATATGACCATGAAATCAACTTACCAAAAACCATTTTAAGCTTTCCCGGCCCTTTAATAACTGTATCAGTGGCTCGATACTGATCACCAAAGGCATGCCTACCAATACATATGGGTTTTTTCCAACCTGAGAATTGGACAATTATTGAGCAGTTCCAACAATATATTACTAACTTTGAGGATTATAAAAGAGTCCAAACTATTACCAGGTACTATTCTAGGGATGTTTCTGCATAGGATAGGTTCACGGAAAACAGTACCTACAAGATCAAGCATAAAAATTTATATTTTATTATAAATTGTTTGAAAAATATTAGGGAAATAGAAGCCTCATAAGAAAGTCAAACTAGGCTATGTACATAGACAGGTCATTTTAATGGTTAACCATATTTAAAAGAAAAATGAACAAGATGAAACAAGTATAAAGCAACTGGAATGAAGCTGGGACACTTAAATAAGAAAACTGCTTCTTCACAAAATCTGTGCACAACAAAGCTTAATGAGCTGTTGCAAAGAGACTACTGTAAACTTGCATTACAGTAGCTACTATCAGAAACCACTCTAAGAACTCCACTGCAAGAACTCTTGGTCACATATTAACTATGATACTTGATGTTTAAACCCAAAAGAAAGACCAACTTTCCAACAGTGAGGTATGCCAACTAAAACTATTATTGAAATGAATGAGTAAGTAACAAAACTAAGAGCATTAGAATTCTGGTTTGAATTCAAAGAAGAAAATTTATTAGATACAAACCGTTTAGAATGTTTCTAATTGTGCCATTGGGACTCCTCCACATTGATTTCAGCCCAAACTCCTTCACTCTGGTCTCATCTGCGAAGTATGAGAACCTGAAATTAGATGAAACAGAACTACTATTTCCATAAGATAACAGTTAAAATGTCCTGGGAGAACAGAGAGATCATCTGTTTGCACATCTTTTGGAAAGGGTTTGAGCATATTGAAGTTTTGAACACAGCCACAATGTCCCTTGGAAAGGGTTCAAGTTTATCATGGTAATATAGACAAACACAGAATTAAGGAAAAACAAAAACAACTAACCAGGAGTTATTGTAGCACATTTCACGGCAACATTGTACCTGAAGAGCAAAAACGTTTAAATAAAACAAATACGAGAAGCAAATTGCTAATCATTCATTAATCCCTTGAATTCAGAAAATTAAATTAAAGTGAATCAAACTACTTACTTAAGAGCGGCTTCGGCACTCTCCACTGTAACTCGGTCATCAGTAGCATCACGGTTCAAAATTCCTAAATCATAATACTTTATATCCAAATCCAGATGGGGAAAGATAAGCTGCAATTGCATATGACGGAAAAAACCCCCATTAAATCAAATCAAATTCCACAATAAAGCATTACTAAAGTGAAATTCACATTGAAATGAATCTTCAGACTTTATCTTTAATCGTTTTCCATATGATCCTCGTCATTTCATCACCTAATTGGAAAAATAATACAATAATCAATACGGTAGATAAGCACAGCAACAATTAAGTTCACAGAAAACGAAACTGCATCATCCTACAAGTTATGCTCCGTTTGGTAGCTGTGAAAACAGAGTTATTAAAAAGACTTTAAAAAAAAATGTCATTATCTGAAATCTTATCATCCTGACGACTCAACTGAACTTCATTCAACTACTTCGCATTGTATAAGTTTTCGCATAAATCGAAACCAACATTCGTATTTTTCCTGTGCTTTCTCATAAACCAAGCAGAGCATCGCTAAATAATAAAGCAGTATGGTCGTAGCATTTAGGGAACTGACCGTCCATTTCAACAATAGGATTCTGAACCCGAATTTTATCGAAGCCGGGGGACGAAGCGTAGCATCGCAACGAAGTGTGACTAAAGCGAACGGAGAACGAAACACGGTTCCCAGCAGGCACTCCATTGAAGAGTCTCGGGGACGAAGAGAAGGACAAGCTAGGGTTTCTCATGGCTACAGAGGACGAAGCTGACGACGATATCATCGCAGCGCGCGACATGGCGCTCAATTGCAGTCTCGCTCTTAGCATTCAATATATACTTATATGAGTTTGCGTTACGAGTTGCGACTGCGAAGATGCTTTGCTCGAACTCCAGAATTTGGTCTTACGCTGCGTTTGTCTCTATAGAAATGAGCTCAGCTCTAGTGCTCTACTTTTTTATTACCGTTTTCATTTGATCGGCAGGGAGGGGTGTTGAGTCTTTGAGTAATTACATCGGACGGACGAGAATATTGAGACGATGATTCGGTGTGAGCGTCAGCAT